TAGTTCTAAAGGTTTTGGAATCAATAAAATGACAAAAGTGCCCAAATTTATGCACCTGCCTGATTTTGTTTAAACAATTATTGCACACTTTCTGTAAATCCAATAAACTTCATTTCACTTCCTAAATATCACTGTGTGTGTCTCCTATATGATATATTTAACTGACATTTTCTATTGTAACAACCAACGATTTATACAGGAAAATAATGACTATTAACAAGGTTGTCCAAACTTTTGCATCCCACTGTATTTCAGTCAGGATCGCTATAGCATAAATTTTGCATCTATGTTCCCATCTATGTATGCGTTTCATGTTCAGTCATATTGTAGTTCATACTGCACCTTTGCTTGGGTAAACTAAAGCATGAACGAGTTTAAAAAAATAAGAATTGTTAATGTCTATTATCACTTTTTAAGAAACGTTTTCCTTTTTGTCCTTGGGCTTTTCTTATGACTATTTCTATTCTCAGATTTACATTGAGATGGCAGAATCTAGTCTTGTAACAGAGGTGTTGGAGAAGATTGCTTCAAATGAACATTTATCTACGAATGTAATTTGGTATGACTTTCACTAAAATAGGGGAAGAGATGAATAAATTATTAGAATAAATTACGTATTTATTTGTTATGAAAATAGACCCTTAGACCGTCTCCTTTTTTATCCTCTATACAGGAAAAAAGTTCGACGCATTGAAACGTGAGTATTTCTCTTTCTAATATGACAATTCCTGAATCTGGGTGCAGCTTCTCCTGTAGAAGTTAAAACAGTTCTAATACTAAACATTTTGGGTTTTCGGATTCCTGGTTTGACGAAAAAATAATAGTCTCATATTATTTTGCCAAAGTATGGTTTCCTGTTGTTGTTGTTTTTTTGGGGGGGGGTTGTTTTTTGTTTTTTCTCTAATTTTTATAATGAACTGGCTCTAAAAGATGTGGAGAAACAAAACAGACAGTTTATGTAAATGTGTCTTAAGCTAATAACTGCTGAACAAAAAATTGGAAATGATATTTGTTTCTTTCTCTGTTTTGTAACATGTTATGTGTAACCATTTTTGTGAAAACAAACTTGTTTTTTGTGGACAACTAACAAAGATTTTCTGCTTTTGATTTTAGTTTGAAGAGCCTAAAACAGCGTCTGCAAGACTCCAGTGAGATTAAAGTAAATCTTGAACTGGACACCACAGATGTTAAGTTCCCGACTGTGATAAGTGGAGCACAGTCTTCTCTTTCTGATAAAGGGGAGCAAACTCTTCAGCAAACAAGTACCTCTGGTTCTGCTCAACCAGCAGTATCAGTTAGTTCGAACATTTCTAAGTCTCTCACAGCAGGACAAAGTGCAACAAGTGACCAAGAAATGGAAGAAGCCAGTGATAAACCAGGAACTGAGATTATAACATCCACCGTTGCGCTTCAGGCGAGTCAGGATGTAGAGAAGGCAGAAGGGAGGGTAGGGGAAGAAGGGTCACCAGTAATTTCAGTCACCTCTGCTGATGGAAGAACTTTTTCAGCTGCTTCTACCCCTGCTCCTCAAGTCACAAGTCTGACAAAGTCTAAGGAAATGATCAAAGAACTTCCTTATATTAATGCTGACGAGCCCATATTGATTCAGGGAACCAAGACACAGACTGTGGATAAAATGGTAATATCTGGCAAAAAGTGTATTTGCAAAGTGCCAAAAATGTTCTAACTATGACCTGCCATATTTTTGTGAAGTAAAGTAGTAAGCAATCTTTATCTTTTTAGAGCCCCAGCAAGAGAGAAACAATCTCTAGAAGTGACTTGGGTAAAGAGAAAATGGAAGAAAAGGTGAGTTCCTTACTTCTACCTTCAAATTTGGTCTGCATATATGCATAAACATACAGTGTATATAGAATCAAACCCACTAAACTATGATATGATTAGGGATGGGTACCGGTAATGGCACCGGTAGTAACCAGACCGAAAAGCAGCGCACATTGCGGTGCTTTTTTCTTTTCCTGAGATGTCATACACTTTGGATTCCAGCCAATCATTTTACCTTTGCGAGCGTAGTAGGTGGGCCCAGGTACGTACGTTCTTTTAGAGCAGAGCTACAGATTAAAAATGCCCAAAGCGAAGCGGTCAAAGTCTGGCTGTACTTCACAGCAAAAGATGTAAACTCAGCAGCCTGCAACAAGTGCTTTAAGGTGATACTGTGCAAAGGAGGTAACTCCTCAAATCTGATGAAACACATGGCGACGTATAGCATTTGTTAAAAGCCGAGAAATGCGCCGTATTTGATAGCTTGCCGCGAGACCGTGCACATCTACTGCGGGTGTGGTGCCTGTTATCGGACCCGGATTTAGCAACATCCCCCAAAAACCCGAAGATTAGAGTCCTGGCCTCTAGCCCTGCCAGTGTAGCAGAAATGATGACGGATGATGATGATGGCAGACACAGCAGTTCTTCCCTGCGTGAGTAGCTTAATGTTGTTCGTGTGTAATTTACGTTGAGTAGGCTAACCACGTTATTACATTAATGCATGTAAGGTGAACTAGCAAACATCATCATAGCTACATGCGGCTGTCCTCTTGTTTGATGGCAGATACTCCCTTCACCCTGGCCAAAAAGGCTAAAATGACCAAAGAAAAAGTGGAAAACAGCTAAACATGAGAGGTTTTTGGACAAAATTAGTTTTTTCCATTGTTTAAGCTCTGCTTCCAGCCAAGAGTGATGCCATAAATCCCCTATAGCTGCAGAAAAGGCTAACATTGTTATCTTTTTACAAAAACCAGCTGAAAATGAGAGGTTTTTGGACCAATTTTGTGTTCTCCATTCTTTAAGCACCGGTTCGAGCACCGTTTAAGCACTGGCACCATTTCAAAAGTACCGGTTTGGTACTGGTATCGGATAAAACCTAAACCATACCCATCCCTAGATATGATAATATATCTTAGAGTTTATTAGTGACAGTCTTCTGTGGTCCCTTTTATTAGTTTTTTTTTTTAAATACCTCAGTTATGTAATTGAAAATAACTCATCTCTTTAACTGGTTAAGCAGACCTGCGGAGTGGAAATAGAAAACCAAAGCCTGGTTGTGTCGACCACTACAAAACAGATCTCAACAAGGCCCTTGAACGACTCGACGAGCAGCTCATCTCCTAGTGTCAGCCAGACCTCTGTCTCTTCTTCTCTACAATCTATTGAAACTCCTCCCTTCCCTTGCCAAACAGCACAGCCAGAAAATCCAGAGGCTCCAGAGATAGCCTTACATTCTCCATCCGTTAGCTGTAAGCCTTCTTCATCAACAGCAGCAGCAGCAGATGTGACAGTAGAGACATATCAGCTTCATAGAGACGAAGAAGCAAAACCCAAAGAAAGTGCAGTAGGGAAGTCGGGTAAAGTGTTAGCAGAGGGCATTACTACAGAGACAAATAGAACAGAAACATCATTAGCTATACATTCAGCTGCACATAGTCAGGGGTTAGAGTTGACAAGCCAAAAACCGAATCTAGAAATTGATTTTAACAATGGCATACTCAAAGAGTCGAAGGAGAGGACGGAAGAAGAATGCAGAAATTATTATTCTGGCAAGTATCCTGAGGAGGAGGACTTTGAAGATTACCAAATCCTGGACTCGATTGAGGATCAATTGGATGAACAGATGAATGAAGACGGAAGCCAAGATGGCACTGAAACCAATTTATCTGGGTGTGTACAAGAGCAAGGAAACTCTTACCAGGTGATGGATAGTGTTACCGAGGACCAAGCATCTGTAGTTAAAGAGGACTCTCAAGAAGATGCCACTGATAAGGATGTGTTAGATTCAAGAACGAACCAAAGTCCAAGGATCAAGGGAGCTCGAACAACCATACAAACGCAAGGAGAAATGCAGAGGTCTTTTAAAGCCCCCGAAAATTTGGGCCAAATCCTAAATGTTGAAGAACAAGTCAACAAAGACATGTCATGCGATGCAGATTGTGCTAAACAAGAAACCTTTGAGATATTGGATTCAATTGATGATGACACTGATGACCATGTTTCTTCAGAAACACATATTTTTGATGAGCTAAATTTCAGTTTAGAGGACTTTGTCACTGTTGATGAAATTGGTGACAACACGGGAGAAGCAGCCTTCAGCCACCAAAGCCGCTCTTCTCATAAGCAGAACTCTGAAAGGAAAAGAGAAAGGCAGAGCTCTCACATTGCCTCCTCTTCTTCCTCACCCGTGCCAACTCACATCACAGTGAAAGGAAATTTGTCTTCTAATGTCTTTAAGACCTCTACCTCCTCATCTTCTCAGTCTTTTGAAACTTGTAGGAATACACACCCAAGCAAGTTAAAGTCCCCAGCCAGAGCACTGCATACTTCATCCTCAGATTGCAGGGCGCATTCATTAAAGATGGCATCAGCAGCAGAAGCTGAGACATCGGTTGACACATATAAGCTGCACAAAGAAACAAGTTCTGTTGAGTCAGAGTCAAGGCAGTCACCTGGACCTGAGAAAGGCCATAGACTGCATAAGTTGGACAGTCAAGTCATGGAGAGCGATACAGATGCAGTCAAAACCTGTTCAAAGGAATGGAGTGAAATTGGATTGGATGCTTCTGTCCAGCTATTACATGGGGTTTCTAAACACCAAGTAGCTACCAATCAAGAGGATGATCGTCTGGTTGAAAATGAAGACTCAGCAGAGAAAAGAGAGGTTGAGGAAAACAAGATTCAGATAATGGAAAATTCTGATAAATCTACAGTTCTAGATGCAGCTGATAAAATTGAAATGTCAATTACAAGTAGCAACCAAAACCCGAGAGGCCAAACAGAAGATAGAAGAAGAAAAGAAAAGGAAGAAATGTTTTCAGAAGAATCCTGCAAAGCGTCCAAAGATGCTGACAACAGAGACATGAAAGACAATTCATCAGATAGTACTGATCATGAAACCTTTGAGATATTAGATTCAACTAATGATCATACTGATGACCATGCCTCATCAAACACCAATCTTTTTGATGAGCCAAATTTCAACTTGGAGGACTTTGTCACTGTTGATGAAATTGTTGATGATGTAGAAGATATGGCCTTAGACCACCCAAGCACGGCTTCATCTAAACAGAACTCTAGAATGAAAAGTGAAAGGCAAGGTTCAAATGTTTCATCTCCTGTAAAGCAGACTTCTACAAGATCCCCGAAAGACTCCAAGAGCTCAGCAACTTATTCTTCTTTCTCACATTCCTTATCCAAGTCAATGAAAGCCACTGCGAGGAGCAGTTTATGTATGGCTATGGAAACTCCTGCCTCCTCTGTGGAAAAAGCAGCATCAAGTAACCCAAAATCTCCAGCCAGAGCATTGCAAGTTTTGTATTCAGGTTTTAGGACCTGTGCATCAAAAGCAGCTCTAAGTGGAGTTGAGACTTGTCAGCCAAATGAAGAACAAGCAAAACCAACAGAGAGTTTAGTGGTAACATCTGACCACAAACTTTCAGCCAATGGCATTGCTTTGAAAATTGTTGAGTCAAAGTCAAGCCAGTCATCTGCTCTTGAGCAAGGCCAGAAATTCTTTGGAGGTGGCTATAAGGTCTTGGACAGTATTGAAGATGAAAGTCCTGAGGAGTTTGGTGAAATGGAAATAGATGTGCCTTTCAAAGCACTAGACTGTGTAACTGAAGACCGAACAGCAACAGTTCAAGAGGCCACTCAAACAGTTAAAGATGAAGGTTCCACATTGATGCAGCTGTCCGAGGAGCATGTGATTCAAGTAGATAATTCTGATAAATCTGTTGCTGAAGATTTGGCTGAGAGAAACGAAGTGCTGGACACAAGTAAGAATCAAGCTTCAAGGAGCAGGGGCGATGGAAGGTGGGGGAAAGAAAAAGAACAACAGATGCTTTCAGGAGAAACCTGCAAAGACTCTGGCCAAATGACAAATGTTAAACATCAAAGCATCAAAGAAGCTTCACCAGATAGTACTGAAGACGAAGGCTTTGAGGCACTGGACTCGGCTAATGATTGCGTCGATGACCAAGTCTTTTCAGATACCACCCTTTTTGATGAGCAAAATTTTAACTTGGAGAATTTTGTCACTGTTGATGAGATTTTCGATGACTCGGGGGAGGACCAAAGCACAGATGTGTTATCCTCTGCTGAACAAACCTCGTTAAAATCCTTGAAAGGCTTCAAGATTTCTTTGTCACCTTCCTCATCTAAGACAAGGAAATCCACTTTGAAAAGCAGGTTGTCTTCTAATGTCAAAACGATCTCAAACCACAAAGTTTCAATAAAAGGCATTGCTAGGGAAACTATTGAGTCGGAGATAAGTCAGACACCTGGACCTGAGCAAGGCCAAGAATTACATGAAGGAGGCTTTCAGGTCTTGGACAGTGTTAATGATGATGACGCATGTTTAAAAGAGTGCAGTGAAATTGAATTGGATGCTTCTCGCAAAGTGCTAGACAATGATATCAGACACCAAATAACTACAGTTCAAGAGTCCAATCCTTTGGCCAAAAATGAAAGTTTTACAGTAAAGCAGCTGTCTGAAGATTTGATTCTGGTAGTGGACATTTGTGACAAAAATGAAGCAGAGAGCAGGGGAGATGGAATCAAGGGGAAAGATGAAATAACGCTTTTGAAGGAATCATCCAAAGCCTCCAAAGATGCTGGCTTAATTGCAGAAGGTAAAAAACAGCCTCTTGAAGAGGGAGACAACACTGTAAAAGAGGGTACTGAACAACAAACCTTTGAGATACTGGATTCAACTGATAGTTATAATGATTATTCTATTTCTTCAGACGCTCAGCTTTTTGATGAGCAGAATTTTGAGAGTTTTGTCACTGTTGATGAAATTGTTGAGGATGTGGATGACAACCAAGGCACCTTCTCATCTGAGCAGAACTCCAGAAAGAAAAGAAAAAGACAAAACTCAGATGTTTCATCTTCTGCCAAGAAGATCTCAACAAGATCCTTGAAACAGTCTAAGAACTCAGCTGCTTTATCTTCTGAATCCAAGCCCACTGAAGCTTCAGAGAAAAGCACCCTGTCTTTAGGCTTGACCACTGACTCACCAAAAAGACAAAAAGGCTCATCTGAACCAACCAAATTCAATACCACATCTATGCAATCTGCTCAGGCCACTAAGACCCCTTTATTCTCTTCTTCGCTGCCTGTCGAAATTCATGCATCGCCTTTTCGCAGAGCACAGCCACACAAGACAGAATCTCCAGCCAGAAGACCACACACTGTATCCTCAGGCCACAAGACCCATTTGTCAGAGATGGCATCAACATCAGATATTGAGGCATCTGTAAAGATTCAATATTCTAATGAATCAGAGAAAAAAAACACAGAGTGTGCAACAGCAAAGTCTGACCACAACGTGTCAGGAGAGGGCATTGCGGCAGGGGATTATGTCGGAAAATGTATTGAGGAGGAGGAGGAGGAAGATGGTGAAACTTACCAAGTCATTGATTCAGTTGATGATCAAACAGAAGAACAGCTGGATGACGATGGAAATCAAGATGGCTGTGCTAAAACCAAGTATTCAGGACCTAAACAAAGCCACACATTGCATGGGGAAGGTTATCAGATTTTAGACGATATAAAATCCACAATCCGAAATGAAATAAAACAGTACATTGAATGTCAAGACATCCAAAAAACTTCAACAGATGCTACTGAAGCATTTGAGATACTGGATTCAGTTGATGATCTGACTGAAATAGAAGATGATAACCAAAAATTTGAAACCCTTGGCACCCAAGTATCTAAAGAAGCCACAGAAGAAGAGGAAGAAGCTTACCAGGTAATTGATTCTGTGGAAGATGAGCCAGCAACCACAGAGACCAAATTGGAGGCAGACAACAAGGAAAAAAGAACAGATAAATCCAATGAACCTAAAAGAGATGATAGACCAACAAGGAGGAGTGGATCAAGGTCCAGAACATCTAAAAGTGAAGAGGAGGGGAAATTACCAATAAAAGAGGACAAGATGGAGAAAAAATATGAGACAAGAACAAAGAAAAGCAATACAGAAAAAGACAGAAATATTCTCAAGGACACTGAAAAGATCATTCATGGTAAAGTAAACTTTGATAAAGATGAACCAATTCAAGATGCTTTTACTGCAGAAAGGTCTGATAGTAGAAAGTCTGCTAGAGGATACAAAAAGGACAAACTGACATACACAGAACAATCTGAAAAGCCAGAAGCGGTAGAGACTGACAACAGCAATTCAGCCATTACAGAACAATCTACCAGTGGGAGAAAGGAAAGAACGGCTAAAGAAGTCCCAACAAAAGACAAGACTACAGCAAGAAGGAGAACCACATGGGCTGTACATTCCCAGAAACAGGATCCTGAGAAAAATACAGAAAATGAGGAGACAACGCCACCAACCGAGAAGACACCAACAACAAAGAGTGATGCCTTGATAAAAGACTTAAGGGAAGACTCTACCTATGAAATACACCCTGTGGAAGATGATGATAGGAATAATCGACCTGCAACTTCAGAAAACACAACGTTGGAAAGACCAAGGAAATATATTGAGAAAACTTTTTTGGATGACACATCTGAGCTAGTGACTCTGGATGAGGTGGGGGCAGATGAGGGTGGAGACAAAGGTTTTTTGGAGGGAGAAGAGTGGAATAGGGAGATTACGGAGGATGAGCTGCAGGAGTTTGTCACATTGGATGAGATTGGTGAAGAAGAGGAGGAGGGACATGAGGTCTGCCAACTCAACCCAGATAGCCAGTCAGTGAAGTCCTTAAACCAAGAGGTAATGTTAGCATTTAAACTGTTGCAAACATTTTTCTTTCTTCGAGAAATCTTTGTTCTGATAACATAAATCTTGATGCCAAACATTTTGGTTTTCTCTTTTTAGACTTTGTCAAATGTGAATGAAGCAGTGCATGATGAGAATGAGAAGGGTGTCAAAAAGGAGGCTCAGAAAATCTCAAGATCTAATAAACGCAAACGTGATGACAATGCAGGTTTGTGTTAGTCTTCTTACTGCTTCCATAAAAAATGTCATAAATTAGCAGCAGGCAACAGGTTTCTAATTGGAGTCAGTTGATTAATTAATCATCAGCAGGTGTGACCTCCTTTACTAAAGTTTAGTTTGCTGCTCTGGTGCATGGTAAAGTTACATCTGAAGAAGCCATACAAACCTGTGGAATAATGTCCTTTAAACACCTTTGGGTTTCTTTTATAAACCTTGGGCACCTTGCATTCCCAGAGTCAACCATGAACTCCTCTGTATGTCTGACAAAGAAAAGAATCAAGGTGTTGAAATTGCCCAGTCCTGTCCAGACCTCAACCTGATTGGAATGTTGGTTTGGGACCTTAAGAATGCTGTGCGTAAATGTGTATCCCCAACCTCAATAAACTGAAGCAACAGAGGTGTGGGCCAAATTTTTCCCACAACGATGTGAGAGACTGATGAAGTCACACAGAAAATTATTATTATTCACATGACTGTTTGTACATGGTAGGTATGATAAGCAGGCATAAACAGTGGTGCCTTCATTGATAGAAGGAGCAGCACATCTTAAAGCAGATAAGACATAAACCAGGTGAAATGGATTGTGTTAACAGCTAAAGGTTTCCAGTATAATGGAACTCTAACCATAAAAGCTAAATTACTAATTATTTTAAGGTGCAAATAAACTGACATCTGCTTACAGCCTAACAGAAATTTAAAATTAAAGGTAAGACACACTGTTAAAGACAAATCTATCACCCGTTACATGCTTTGTTAGCCAAGACAGTTTGATTTTGGTGTGTTTTGATTGGCAGATTATTATCACTATAGATTTTTTTTTTTTTTTTTTAAATGGAAAGCATTGTGTACTAGTCTGTTGTGTGAATCTTGTAAAGTTTACTCCTAAATTTACTAAAAAAGAAAATGGCAAACTGTTTTGCATTAATGTGAGTCTTTGTTTTTGTATCTCATATTAGAGGAGAATGTGAACTTGAAAAGAGATGAAGACAAGGACAAGAAAGCCATTAGAACCAGGACAAGTGGCCAAGCCAGGAAGAGGACTAGACAGATCCCTGGTAACACAAGCACAGCTTTCTGGTTTACATAATTGTGCAGAAATATTGAGCCACTTCTCATTTCTTCATACTTTGTTACTTTGTTAAATAATCTTGAGGAAATGTTCCCTAGTCTTTCAAAGTTTTTCTTTTGACTTCAGCTGCTTTTATTCACTGATTTTCAGTCCAGTCTTTATACCTGAGCATTTTCAGAGGAATGTTTTTGTTGTTGTTTGTTTGTTAAGCCACTTAACACTGACTTATGAATCATTCAAGGACAAAAAAAGGAACCTTAGTCATGTGATGAGCCAGTTGTAATCTAATGCCATGTAGTGCTGTCAATCAACAAATTGGAAACAGCTTCACGACAGCATGACAATGGTTACAGACACACGGCAGTAAAATCATACCTGGGTAGAAAAACACATGGTGGAACACTATCAGTCACGGATTGGCTTCACCAGAACTCAAGCTTTAATGGAATGTGGGATCATCTAAAGCGTGGGTGTCAAACTCCTTTTTCATCATGGGGCACATACAGCTCACTTTGATGTTAAGTGATAAGTGATTTTATATACTGTTGTTTGTTTGTTTGTTTGTTCGTTAATTAGTTAGTTAGTTTATTTGCTTGTTTTAATCAATTTTAAATCATGCTTTTTATTTGTTCTTGTTTCTAATGTCTCTGTAAAGCACTTTGAATCACCTTGTTGTTGAATTGTGCTATACAAATAAACTTGCCTTGCCTTGCCTTAAGTGGGCTGGACTCATGAAACTACATGATAGATGTGTAATTCACAGAAAATGTACCGTGGATAACATTTCTATTGTAGTCTTTGGAAAAACTGGACCTTGTATTAATAATAATAATAATAATACTGCATTTTATTTGAGGGCGCCTTACAAAAGAACAAAATTAAAAGGAGCAATAGTCATAAAATACATAAAATAAGTTAAAATTGCAAAACAGAACTTGACAACAGATAAAATCACTACTAAAGCGAATAAGCCAGTTTGAACAGATGTGTTTTGAGCTGTGACTTAAATACGGGAGGAGAGTATATTTCTTATGGCTTGATGAAGAGAGTTCCAGAGCCGTGGAGCAGAGCGACTGAAAGCTCTGTTTACATTTATATGTAATTTATATTATATTTTCGCAATATATGATCAGGAGGGAGCATGTAAATAATGAATAAAAGAGGCTCTAATACTAAACCCTGGGGCACACCAGCAGAAACAGGATAGAGACTTGAAGAGTGGGATTTAAATTGGATATAACTGAGTGCGGTCTGAAAGATATGAGGCAAACCAAGCAAGGGGGTATGACGAATGACATTGGATGCTAACCGGTTCAGGGGGATATTGTGAGAAATGGTATCATACTAAGATCAAGAAGAATGAGGATGGATAGGAGGCCAGAATCGGCTGCCATCAGAAGGTCATTGGTTGACCTTAACAAAGCAGTTTCTGTGCTATGATTGGGGTGGAAACCAGATTGAAATTGTTCATAGAGATTATGGTCATTGAAATGTAAGTGAAGCTGGGAGGCGACAACTTTTTCAATAATTTTTGAAATAAAGGGGAGATTTGATATAGGGCGAAGACTATCAAAGTTTTTGGGGTCTGCACCAGGCTTTTTGAGAGTTGGAATAACAGAAGCCTTTTTCTGACATGAAGGGACCATTCCAATTTTAAGGGAGGAACGGGATAATACTGGTTATGAGAGGAGCTAACGAGGGAAGACAGGCTTTAACTAACACAGTGGGAAGAGGGTCAAGTTGACAGGTGGATAATTTAGATTTTTTTTAAAAATATGATTAGATACGTCAGTTATAGAGGGAAGAGTAAAACCTGAAAATAACTGACAGGAACACAGTGGGGGGAAAACAGGAAGTCTACTTCAGAGTCAGAAGCTCCTACAGAGTGACGGTGGATATCTTAGCTTTTACAAGACTTTTCTGTCATTTAATTATTTATCTCTTAGTTAATTACTTTTGTGTAGTATGAATGACTGTGAGGGAGTCTTTATCAGCAGGAGACGCTGTGAAACCTATTTAAATACAGTTAAAAGCAATGTTCCCTCTAAGCTGCGCACGTGTCTCTGCGCAGAGAAAATCTGCGTTGCGCACACACACAAAAAATTCTAACCTGAATTGAAATTAAATTAAATATGTGCCGACACCGGTGTTTTAGCTAGCAAAGCGGCGTGGCTGATGTGGAGTGAAGCCACGTTAATGACAACGTGTACAAACATTGGAGATGTGAGCAGGAGAGACGGAACAATTGACGGAAAAAGTGTGGACAGTTTTTAAATTGTGTTGATAGGCCACGTAAAACCAGAGTTATGATAAAAAAATCTGCAATGTTTGGTTTTCTTCCTGAATACTACCGTTGTTTAGATTTACTGCGGGAAGAAACGGTAAAAACTGCGTTTTATAAGGAAAACGCTCGAAAGCCTGTGAGCAAAAACAAAAACAAAACACCCCACCCTTTCCCATTGGTCGAAAAATGTACCATGTCGACCAATCAAAACATGGCATTTAGTTGTTAAGAAACGGGAGGAAGTTTTAGGAGTGACGGCGGTGTTTTGAGATGTGAGAGATTTGCAGCGTTTAGCGCTAATCTTGTGTAGTTAGTGTGTAGTGTAGTCAAAAGTTTTGTTGTGTGTGTCAGAACAATGCGATGTTACAGGAGTGATACATCTCCTGTTGTCAGGCCTGCAGGTATCAGGCTTGTTCTCCTTTATCTCATAGTGGACAGAAATTATTTTTTGGAGTGGCACAAATAATTTGTGTGACATTAAATTAGATGCAGAACAGCTGATTGTTCTGTAAATTGTTTGAAAGGTTTGTTTAAAAAACCGCATTGGCTGCATTTTTAGGTAAACAGCTGCAAAAAACATTGTTGTTTGCAAAACTCAGTAACTTTTTTAAAGAAGTAACTATATAATTAATTGCCCAACATTAGTCATTATATACTGTATTTTGCAGGGAGACAGTTACAGGACTCTCTCCCAGACCACAGACACATAATACAAGTCACAGTTTTATTTAAAAAAAAAAAAATGATTCTGGGCCTTCAGCCTTATGTTTGACACCCCTGATCTAAAGGCAGTCCAGATCTGAAGAAGAGCTTTGAATGTTCATCAAGAAGCCTGGAGAACTGTTCCTGAAGACTGCTGCCACTAAGAATGTGCACAAAACTGTACAATCTGGTCAGAGGACTAAATTGTAAATCTCAAGTATTTCTTTTTCTTTTCCTGCAGTGAGAAAATCTGTTAGAGGGAAAAAAGGGGTCGCAACACACGAGAGAGAAGATGCAGAAACAGAATCACTGTCTGCCGCTTCACTCGAGTCCTCGTCACTGGACAAAAACATATCTGTACTGTCAAGTGACGACAAACCAGACAGCCAAAAAACAGAGGAGAAACCAGAGAGCCAGCCCGATGTTGATGCTGCCTCTGCTGGGCAACAGCAACAGCCTGAGTGTCTTGATAATCAGACACAGGAAGGACCGAGCAGGAGTGACGTTAAAGGTACGAGAAGCTGTTTTACCTCAAAATGTGCTGATTTTAAACCAACAAAATGTTTCAATATGATTCACTAAAGTGGATGATGGTTGTTTTCCACTTAGAATTTGTTAGAATAGAGCAAAACTGCATCCAAGTCAGTGTCTATATTGTGGTTTTCCTAACACACTCTGTCAGAAGACAGCCACAATTTGTAATCTGGAACTTGTGAAGTTAAAGTTTGTCCATCAAAAGTTACTAATCATATTACATATACATATTACATATTACAACATATCGTTAGCTTCATAGCATAAGTGCCTAAGTCATTTTTTTGTGTTTTCGGAAAACAAGACAAAACTAATTTTCTAAATATCACATGCATATTTTTAATTGATATTTTCAATTTGACCAAAAAATGACTTAGGCACTTATGCTATGAAGCTAACGATATTCTTCTTCTCTTGGCTCTCAGTGAAGGCGGTCGCACTTTTTCTCCTCTCCTCCTCACCCTTATCTTCCCTACTTAGCCTCTTGTGTCCTTGTCTTGTCTTGTGTGCATTACTTTTCCCTCGAACAGTCTCTCACTGTCGTTCTCTAAAACCTAAAAGAGAATTATGGATTTGATCAACTGGTCTCTGAATGCTATTGACACCCTTTTCTCAACGAGAAGCCTGGGCTCGGGAGAGCCTGAGTGCCCTGGAGGGACTTTCCCTGCCGGGTACACGATGGACGGGTGGCAGACCTGGAGGATCTTGTGCCTGGCGGGACTGTCTATCGAGGACGCTGAAGACATCTACCTATTCGGAACCATGATAACAGGGTTCTTGCTGATCGGAGCTGGCTTGGCCCTGACTTATCGGAGAAATAAGAGAGCGGAACCAGCTGTTCAAACCCCCCCAAAGCTGACCGCTGGAATTGAAGCGATGGGTCGAGGCGCGACCTCTCACACCGAACGCAGTATGGTTAACACCTTGGAGATGCTTACAGCTGCCGTGAAGGCTCAAACTAACACCACTGAGCGTATGATGGGATACATCAGAGAGGGGCCTGCTCATATTGACACCCTTGAGCGAAAGTTGGATCACATCGCAGAACGGCTCACTGCAGTTGTGGGGTCTCAGAATCAAAAGAATGACAACACCACGGAACAGAAGTTTGATACCATCATGGGGAGGCTCGCGGCTCTCCAACGGGAGATCGAGAGACCAGTGTCAGAGTGCTAAATTCGGAGCTGCTCGCATAAAGGAGAAATCAACAATATTCAACATTTGGACACCACGGCGCCAGCTGCTCAGGCCCGAGGCTGGAGCCCACCAAAACAACTCCCTGATAACGACTGTGTGATGACTATTCTTCCCATCCCATGCAAGGACACCTGGGTTGGCTGGAGGACTGTTTACTTAGCCTGATAGGCCGAAGGACACTGTCTCAGCTGAACTATGGACACGCACACACATACACTTACACTGATAGGCACTCACTCATCCCCCCTCCCTTTCCAACGCCTTCAATGCTTGTTTCCTGCGAGGGAACACGGCGGGTCTGTGTGCCGCGCTGGAATGGTAGCGCTGTGCAGGATGGCTGCTGTGTTCGCTTCGGATTACTCCTCACCCCCCACCCACCCCTGTAGCTTGTCATGTCTTCATAATGTTGTGCTGTGGACATTTATGTGCTCTTTGTGCAGAGGAGTTTTTTTGTTTCCTGTTCTCATGCTGTCCTACCATGGAAGCACAGCATGAGTAGGGGTCTCTTTTTTTCCTCTTGTACTTTCCCCACTGTAGTGTACATTTCAATGTTTTTTCTCTGATTCTACCAATCTCCGACCTGTATCCCCATGTAATGTTTATGCTATATGTTTAAGGTCGGGGGGGTGGTCCCATTTCACTGCAGGGCAACCTGCATGTGACGAATAAAGCTTTGATTGATTGACAATTCAAGACATTCGAGCAGCTGTAACTAGAGAAGTAAAAATATAAACTTGTTGTTGGAATAGGTACAGTTTAATTTTCAGTCATCATTTATCATTTATTAGTTGTTTTCCTTTTCTTTAGCTGTCCGTAAACGAAGGAGAGCACTTATTGAACCCAAAGCAAAGCGATCTTGTTCTCAGTCTCCTCGCATCACAGACAACTTGGATGCTGACGCGTCCCTTGGTGAGAACGAAACATAAAATAATGACGTCAATTTCAAGTCTTTCTTTTCTCTCTTAAGTTATTTTGTATGCTTCTGGTCTTCTTAGGTGATGAGCATGTTGTCCAAAAAATGGGGCTTTTCTGTAACCTCTGCTCCATTTTCTACCTGGATGAGCAAAATGCTAAGGACCTCCACTGCAGAAGCCAGAAACACCAGGAGAACCTGAAGGTACCCACAAACTCAATTCAATAAGGAAAGATCATCTGAAGGAACTGAATGTGATTTATTTAGATACTTAAAGTAGGCAGAGGGGCGGCTGATTGGCTCATAGAAGGTGGTCATGGACGCGATTGGACAGAAGCCAGGATGTTAGCATTGAGTTACTGCGTGAGAGAGAGGGAGTGATGTAAAGGAAAGAGTGGGAGCCTGAACACTAAGGAAAGCAGGCAGATGAGTGATTAAAGGTCTTTCTTATTGAGGCTTTGTAATCGAGTGACTGCACAAAAACATACAAGTGGTCTCACCTTTTTCCCCTTTCTTTTATTTCCAGAAACATCAACAGAATCTTCGACGGAGGCCTTCGAGAATGTCACTCAGAAATTCTCAAGGCTCTGTTAAGGATGAATATAACTAGATTTTTTTGTGTTCTTTCCCTTTTTTATGAGAGGTGCAAACAAAACCACGTGTCGTTGAGATTTGGTGGCGAGTGACTCAAGTTCGTGGACACGTTTAAAATGTAAACTTTCATGTGAGTAATTAGCACTCATGAACATATTCTTATAAGAAAAGAAACTAAGAGCTTTCTTTCCTCTGGTTGCAGAAGGGTTTTAGTTGTATAGAAGTTGGTAGGAAGTTTGCTTGTTTCAGGTAATTCTAACAAAAACATGACGTTTGTTTACTAAATGTTGGTTATTTTTAAGAGGGAGATAGGATTACTCACATTTCACTCTTTAGCTAACCGGATGCACGTTTACAGTTGTGTGCTCCACTTGTTTAAGTCATGTGAAACAGAAAGGATGTCAGTTTTCAGCTTCATGTACTTTGCTGCTGTTAGAGAGAAGCATGTTGTGTAGATTTATGCAAAGCTAATATACTTTTTTCCTCTTTCAGTGAGAGAGAGTATAACTATATATTTTTTTTTATGATTGGTTTGCTGTATGTAAAAGCTGTTAACTATGTTATGGTAACCCTGTAAATCTTTATGCACATCAGTGATGTTTAAATGCAACATTTTCTCCCTGCAAGTCACTACAGAAATATCTGTACACATTTCCTGTGTAACCTTGGGGAAAATAAAACACTTCCTGTTTTTTCAGCTTTAGACATTTCTGTCATTTATTCGATTCTGCTCCTTCTATTGTTAAATGTTTTTCACAAAGATATTGTATACATGAATTAATTCTTAAATACTGTAGTAGTTATTAAAATAGTATATAGGATTTGTGTAGCCATAAATATTTATCTTAACTTTTAATTGTATTAATACTGTATTACATCATTAAACACACAATCAAATGCAACCATTTTATTTTCACTTCACGTCTTCTTTTTAGCTCTTGTTTCATCCCAATCAGTTACTAGAAAAAAATCTAGTCTCTGATGTAATCTCTTGAGTATACATCCACTTTTTTATTTACTCTTTTATAAAGACCAAATTTATGATTTCTGCCTCTTAGCTCAGTCTGGTGACCCTTGGATCACAGAGGTGACTGCGGCTCAGTAGATAAATTGAGTTGCCTACCTGTATGGTTGGTAGACCGGTTCCCCACTTACTCCAGTTTGGCAAGATACTGAAGCCTGAGGTGGAGAGTGTTAGATGAGGTGCTTGGGTATAGAAAAAAGGTGCTATGTATGCATCAGTCGACCCATTTACCATCTAACTTGCCCTGCGTCTAAAGCTCCTGCTGTACAAGGAGAAGCTCACATATTAATTGCTTTTACCACATGACTCTTGTATTTGACTGTTTTAGAACTGCACACATTACAGAAGATGCAATAAATAATCTCTGTGAAGGTTCTCAGTCATCCAGGTCATCGTAGTCAAAGGAGCTTGCAAAGAAAAGCGTCTGGACTTCTTTAAGTTGCTTGAAGACGTTTCACCTCTCATCAGAGAAGCTTCTTCAGTTCTAAGGTCAAATGGTGGAGAGTCCCAGATATAAACCTAGTGGGAGTAACCCCCCACAGAGGGACAAAAGGACCCCCTGATGATCCTCTAATCGCCTGAGCCAAGGTGTGAAACTGGGTGTGGGTCCAAATCAGCCAGAGTTTCGGGTGTGTTCATTGTGAAACCTGGCCCCACCTTATCATGCGAATTCCTGAGTCAGATGGCCCAGGATGTGAGTGGGCGTTAAGGCGTCTGGGAAGGGATCTCAAAACTGGATTATAGATGGCAGAGAGTTGGTGTCGTAAACCCCCGCCTCTGTTCAAAGATGGTCGCTCACAGTGGACATAGATGGCTTCTTTCACTCCTCTTTCAAACCATCTGTCCTCTCTGTCCAAAATGTGAACATTGGCATCCTCGAAAGAGTGTCCTTTATCCTTAAGATGCAGATGGACTGCTGAGTCTTGTCCTGTGGAGGTGGCTCTTCTTGTTGTGCCATGCGCTTGTGAAGTGGCTGTTTGGTCTCTCCAATGTAGAGGTCTGGGCATTCCTCGCTGCACTGTACAGCATACACCACATTGTTAAGTCTGTGTTTTGGCGTTTTGTCTTTCGGGTGAACCAGTTTTTGTCTGAGCGTGTTGCTGGGTCTGAAATACACTGGGATGTCATGCTTGGAGAAAACTCTCCTGAGTTTCTCTGATACACCGGCTACATAGGGGATGACAATGTTGTTGCGTCTGTCCTTCTTATCCTCCCTCGCTGGTGTCTGGTCTTCTTTTCTGTGCCTCTTTGCTGACTTTAAGAACGCCCATTTAGGATAGCCGCACGTTTTGAGTGCTTCGAGGATGCCAATGTTCACATTTTGGACAGAGAGGACAGATGGTTTGAAAGAGGAGTGAAAGAAGCCATCTATGTCCACTGTGAGCGACCATCTTTGAACAGAGGCGGGGTTTACGACACCAACTCTCTGCCATCTATAATCCAGTTTTGAGATCCCTTCCCAGACGCCTTAACGCCCACTCACATCCTGGGCCATCTGACTCAGGAATTCGCATGATAAGGTGGGGCCAGGTTTCACAATGAACACACCCGAAACTCTGGCTGATTGGGACCCACACCCAGTTTCACACCTTGGCTCAGGCGATTAGAGGATCATCAGGGGGTCCTTTTGTCCCTCTGTGGGGGGTTACTCCCACTAGGTTTATATTTGGGACTCTCCACCATTTGACCTTAGAGCTGAAGAAGCTTCTCGGATGAGAGGTGAAACGTCTTCAAGCAACGTAAAGAAGTCCAGACGCTTTTCTTTGCAAGCTCCTTTGACAATAAATAATCTCATAAATCCAACCGTCCCTCTTCCACTATGGGCTGGAACCTGCCAGCTCTAAAAGGTGGGATACACCCTGGACAGGCTGCCATGCTAACTGTAGTCATAGAGAGTTAGCTTTAACCAACCTGCCATACATGTCTTTGAACTGTGAGAAGAGACACAAATTTAGCTGTTTTTATTATTATTATTATTATTATTATTATTATTATTTGTTGTTTTCTGATAGGGTAGAGGAGAGATGCCAGACTAAATGTCATTGCATTTTTATAATGACAAAGTCTAACCTATTCTATTATGTGCACATATACCAGCAGTAATTGTAATGCAATCATCGCCTTGCAGTTTATAATTGTTGTTAGTCAACAAAAGCAGAAGGACCCGCCCATTCAAACACGGCTCGTTCATTGGTCTAGCCCGTTGTCCGTCACTTCCTGACTCCTTGAATCATGTGACAGATGTTTTTGTTGTATCGTTTCCGCGTTTAGTGAGTGTTTTCGCCGCGTCATGTGGCTGTCAGTAACCCAAACCTCTAGCAGGGTCAGGAGTTGAAAGCCTCACACCGACTCCTCCAAACAAATCTTTACCGGAGGTCCGAGGAGTCTCCCAGCCGCCGCAGATACACTTCCCGCGGTGCGTTGTTGGAAGAAAGGCTTGGGTCCGGAGGGAGCGATGGCAGACGGGGAACGGTCACCGCTGCTGCCCGATCAGCACGACGGGACCAACGGCTTCTCTCCCGGTACAAGCTCGCACGGATATCTACCGAAACCTCAGAGTAACCTCTGTGTCCTTTTCACATCACCATTCAGAATACGAGCAGTCATTAATAGGCTTCAACAGCGTGGTATTGTAGTTTGTTTTTACCTTTAAAGGTGTCGTGTTGTAAACAAGTGTTAGCTTTCAGGCTAACGTTAGCCGTAAATAGAGACATTATCACACAACTACAGGGGATTCAACCCACACAAAAATTAATTGAAAACCGATTTTAGGGTGATTTATCAAAGCTAATGAGCACCTTTGAGCTGTCAGCGGTTTATAACAGATGTTAGGCATGAAAAACCGGGTGTTTGAAAGGCTTTTCATGTGGGTGAGTTTGATTTGGTGATTTGCATTATGACAAGGGGTCAGAGCTCCCGGCTGTCAGATCACTGTAACAACGCTCAGTGGTTAGTCATTTATCAAGCCTGAACAGCAAAAATCAGCAGGTTCTGATTGTTCTCATGTAAGGATTTGCTGCTTTTCTTTAGTGCATGGTATTGAACATTGAGTTCTGATGAAACAGGCATAAAGTAAAGTAATTTAAAAACTTCGTTTTGGACTTTTAGGGATATCTTAATTGTAAAATTCTCGACCAATACTAGAGATTACAAATAACAATGTGACCAGACCATTTTTGTTGTGTCATTATTTCACTATTGTTGTGGGTTATGTACTTTTTTTCTTGTACCAGGAAACTATTAAAAATCACACAAATTTCCCAAACCTTTGAGTTGTTCCGCTTCAGCAGTTTCACTGATTTATCTGGCATTGCGTCATGAAACAATTGTTTCTCAGTTAGGGGAAAAAACCTGCAAGTCGGTCTAGTGATCACCACAGCCTGCTTCTGATTAATGACTGTGTCGTGCTCATGTGTTTTCAGTCTGTGCTTTGCCACAGGAATTTTTATACATGTTTTAAACATGTTTTGCTTCAGCATCTTCAGTCTGCTGAATGACAAATGTGGGAGCATGTTGGGTTTTTTTCTTCCTAGAACCACTCTACCTCTGAAACCTGGTAGAACCAGTATTTTGGCATTGCTGTGTATTCTCAGGCACATGCAAAAAGTAATTTAGTGACTGAAATGGAGAGAAACCACATGATGTCTGGTATCAGGTGGATGGACTGATACTATTTCCCACCTGTAAATACCTCAAAACTAATGGTGTATAAACTAGAGATGGACCGATCCGATATTACGTATCGGTATCGGTCCGATACTGACCTAAATTACTGGATCGGATATCGGAGAAAAATAAAAAATGTAATCCGATCCATTAAATATCACGAAAGCACCTCACAAAACTTGCAACACGCCGTAACTCACCTCAGAACGTTAGCACGTCGGAGCAGTATGCATCACGTGATAGAGCGGCTGTGGCATGCGGGACCTGTCGGTGGTCTGGATAGCATGTGGAGCTTCGCTAGCAACCCGGCATTTCATCTCCGACAAAGTTATCCCCGAGAGAAGTAAAGCAAGTGTGTAAGTCCATCTCTGAATGTTTGTAAAGCATTCCTGCGTTAAGCTTAACAAGCGACTGCCTCTTCTTGCTGCTACTTCAATCATGAAACTGCTTAATGATCAGCTGATCGGCTTTTCTGTCGCGAGTCCGTCTCTCTTGTTTGTTTTTGGCCCACTTTGCACCAGAAAGAGGAAACCAGCGGCTGAACAACAGCAGCACGTTTAAGCTTGATCAGCTGTTGTTAGAATTTATTTAATATTACTTTCTACTCGAGGATCTTTTTCTACGTAGCTGACGGCTGGTAACTGTGCAGGGGCGGATCTAGCAAAGTTTAGCCAGGGGGGCCGATAGGGCATGAACAGGGAAAAGGGGGCACAAAGACATACTTTTCTTTCTTATTCTCATTTAAAATGTCTAGCTTTTAATAAATAATTATCTGACACCCAAAGTTTTAATTTGATGTAAAATGAATAGAAGTCAATTACTGTATATAGTGACTATTAAGTCTAATATACCCTAGTAAGCTATAGTACTTTTTCCTTTGGGAAGGTACCATCTGTGCAGTCTGCAATTTTGTTGAAGAAAGATGTTGAATCTATTTAATATTTCTTGAAAAATAATTGATTTCTGTGCATTTTTTTTCACACTGCATCAAATTAAGGTTGATTACGTCGATTAAGCATCATGAGGTGGAGCGTGAGGGGTGGTTCCCTATTTTTTATTTATTTATTTTTGTTGTTGCTGGGAGTTGGAACCCTATTAGTTAGGTTGCTTAATATTTACGCTAAGTACTCTTTAAAATACCAGAATAGGGAGGATGGTGTAGGTTTAAGTTTATTAGATTGATCAGTATTGCTGAACTATGAAATATTTTTTTTTGCATACAGGTATAACAGAATAGCTTTAGTGTAGTTGTTGTTTTAAACTTGAGTATGAACTTGCAGACTTGCAAAATGCAGCAAGATATTTTAAAAAACAGTTTTGTTGATTAAAAAACACTATATCGGATTCATATCGGTATCGGCAGATATCCAAATTTATGATATCGGTATCGGACATAAAAAAGTGGTATCGTGCCATCTCTAGTATAAACATTACCCTTTTTTCAGATTGGGCGGCGCTCCCATTTCTGGTGTGAGATAATCTGAAAACCAATAACAATCAACCATTTCTTTTCATTTCCTATACAGTATCGATACCAATACGGAGTACTAATCCGTTACCAGCAAAATGCCAATAAGCTGTAATCCACAATGTGAGTGAAGAAACTGGATATTATTATTTTTATGTGTATGACAAGATCAGGCTTGCCTTGCTGCCTTGCTTTGCTAACTTTAGAAAATAAAATGTGACAAATAAACAAGAATTTAGATTTACTGAATTCTTATTGAGCAGTAAAATGATAAACAAGGAACAAGATGACTGTTCTGTGCATGCCCGATCTCGTCTGAACTTGGAAGCTAAGCAGGGTCGGGGCCTGGTTAGTATGCAGATGGGAGATTTCTTGGAAACTGCAAGCTTTAGGGGCGGCTGTGGTTCAGGAGGTAGAGCAGGTCATCTGTCAGGTTTAATCTCCACCTCCTGTAGTCTCCGTGTCAAAGTATCTTTGGCCTAATTTGTTTTTCATAACTACATCTGTTGTTTTTTTTTGTTTGTTTTTTTACATAATAAAACTCCTAAATGTCATATCCACTGCTTGTAAAAGGGAACAGATTCAAAACAAATAAGGACTCTTATTACTGCAAAATAATGTAGAAATCAAAATTATTTTGCAAAATTACTCCAGTGTGTATTTTGTAAATAAATGTTCACAAAATATACAAATAAATGCAAATATATATACATTTTATTTACATTATACAGTATTAAACATACATTATTAAACCTTTTTATTTCAATCAAGTACCGGTAGATTTCCGTGAATGGTAAATGGCCTGTATTTGTATAGCGTTTTTTTTAGTCCCTAAGGACCCTAAAGCGGTTTACACAACCTGTCCTCCACCCATTCACACACACGTTCACACACTGGTGATGGCAAGCTACATTGTAGCCACAGCCACCCTGGGGCGCACTGACAGAGGCGAGGCTGCCGGACACTGGCGCCACCGGGCCCTCTGACCATCACCAGTAGGCAACAGGTGAAGTGTCTTGCCCAAAGACACAACGACCGAGACTTCCGATTACAAGGCGAACTCCCAACTCTTGAGCCACGATCGTGAACTTTATATGTCAGTTGACTAAATGAAATTAATATAAATACTTTAGCTAAGCCTGTCACAACCTGTAAGGCAAGGAAATTTTATGGTTTGAAGTTAAGGAAAATGATTGTGCTGAAGGACAAAAACCAGAGAACTACTGCAAAGCAGAATGCAATTTATTTTTTTTATGTGAAATTAGTTGATTTTAATAGTCACCGGAAGGAAAAAAAAATCGTCATTGAAGTATAACTATGATTAATTGCCGAGAAGCAACTCCATATAATAACTTGCAGAAATAGTATCTCAGTTTCTGGGATTTAAATGAAACGTTTTTTGGTTTTGTTTTGTTTTTTTAACTTGTAAGCTAAAACAATTGTTCTACTTTTCTGTGTGATCATGTCAGACATCACATGTCTGGCTTGTTTGTCTTTTTTCATTGCTCTTATCTCTGCTGTGACTCCAATTTCTCTCTCACTTCTCTGGTTGCTTCCTTGTAACTGTGACAGTCACTTGCTTTCTGTGCTTCCTGTATTACACTCACGGAGTTTTGACCCTTAACGGTGTCACACATAGATAACATTATGTTAATCAATATAATTAAACATACAATTTGCTGACCCACACATGAGTCAGTATAAACAAACAGATACACATCTAAATTCTGTTTGTGCACCTACTGTTTGTCTTGACCAAGCACAAAAGTGGTGATATTGTTAATGATAACGGTGTTTACTGAATTGCAGTGCTGTACCATTATACAACAGATTTGAAGAGTGAAAATGCAGAAATTTACCATCAGAAAATAGATGGCTCTTAGAAATACCCCACACAAAAGGGAGAAGCAGTTACACTGATCTATTAAGCCACTAGTTTCCTGATCAGTCTCATCAAGTTATAGTTAAAGATTTTATATATACACCACATAGACAAAAGTACCAGACCACAGATTTTAATCTTTGAACTCAAGTGTTTTTGTCTCACATGTTTCTAAAAGCGCCGAACCAAGCAGTCTGCCTTTACAAATAGTTGGTTTGGGAATGGGTCCTTTTAAAGAGCTCACAGAGTAGGACTCTACTACTGCAACAAATTCATTACATTTCTTGCTTTCATTAGGGCTTAGCAGTATAATACCAAAGTGGAAGAGTTTAGGAGCCACGGCAGCTCAGCCTCAAAATGTCAGACCGATGTAAAGAAACAGGGCGGGGCCACCAAGTGCTAAGGTGCATAGAAGGCTCTGCTGACTCATGAACTGCAGTGCTCCAAATCTCATCAGTGCATTAATATCAGCACAGAAGCTATGCGCTGGGAGCTTCATGGCATGTGTTCTCATGGCTGAGCAGCTGTAGATGTAATGTGTAGGTGAAGCAGTACTTCAGGCTATATATTTTCTGTGTTTTTTATGATAAACAAAAGATGTTGTTTTATTAGTGTTAATAAATACAGTATTAATAAAACCTCTTCTTCGTCTTCATCAGGTTTTGCTCCGTTCCCCAGCTCAGTGGCACCAGGCGAGCCTCCACCCCCGTACTCCCCACAAGGCAGCCCAGACAGCAGCAGTGCTCCGGTCATCAGCTGCCGGGTTTGTCAGACCTCCATATCTGTGGAGGGCAAGACGCACCAGCATGTGGTGAAGTGCAACATCTGCAATGAAGCTACGGTAAGAGGCAGATACAGAGAACTATATAGTCTTGATGTACCTCAACTACAGAAACAAACAACATTTTTTTCCTACAAGCTTAGATTATAATAAATGTTAAGTATATTTAACACAGAAGTCCATTTTCCTCTGCAGGGACTCTTATTTTTATTGCAGCCTTATTTGAGATCCTATGTTGCTGCCTTGTTAAGTTGCTGTATTTTGCTGGTGCTACAAGAACTCAGTGCTTCTGTACACATTTCAAAATAAAAGTCATCTGGCATTGCAGTAGAATGAACCGGTAAACCCTTTCTTAATGGGGCTTTTATTGTGAAGCATTCAATGCTAAACACCACCTACACAGTATTTAAAACTCAATAAAGCAAAGTGGGTCTACATTAATGAGTCAAACACAACAAATGGAAAATGAAGATCTTACTCATTGTAGTTATAACTGGTAATTATAATAACTATAATTAATTAGTTAGAATTAGTAAGGACTTGATGGAAGTGAATGGAGAAAAGCTGCACAGATAAAACAACTTTACCTGTTCGTTTTTAAGCATCTTTATCGTTTTATATGTGTAAAATGACTTATTGATATTAAGTAACTGAACAGTTTGAAGCTTTTTTTTATGTTAAATAAGACTGGCTGTTAATTGTTCCATCATTATTGGAGGCCCATCTATAAACTGACTATGGGTTGTAATTTGCTTCTTTGTAATTGCCTCAGTCACTAGGAGACTGCCATAGTGTCTCTTAATTTGCATTGATGTCACCAACTTGTCTGCAGATAAGTACTTGCTAAGTGGTAGTGAAACTGATGACATTGACATTCAAAGTAAAATTTCAGCAGTAAGGCCCAACTTTTACTTTGCTTACTGCTTACATCACTTTGTTTCTGGTCTTGATGCTTAGGGCAGTTTTTGCTTCTTGTAAATTTCCACCTGGAGCATGATGGGAAATAATCTCAAAAGGAATTTAGTTGTTGTCTTGCAAATGGTGACCCTGTAAGATCAAGTCTTTCCAAATTTTTATATTCTGTGACTTAAAACTCTGACTTGTGGCACACTTTTAGATGTGCCTGACTCTTTTCATTCAAAAAAAAAAAAAAAAAGACAGACTGTTATCTGCTTGAAAAATGAAGAAAATGATCTATTAATCCAGAAAAACATTTGACAAGAGTAATTGAAACCAGACTTTGTATACCAAAAAATAGTTAATAGCTTTTTAACATTATAGAAATCTGTACTTGCGTCAGTATTTGTTGGAAAGTTGCATTGGTAAACCACAAAATATCGGCGTGTTGGATTGTCGTTCACTTCTCCTTTCGTCTGATGAAATCAAAAGTAAAACAATTTAAGAACCTCACATTTGGAAAAGCCAAAAGCAAATGTTTGAAGTTTCTTATTCTTCTATCTGTGTCTTCACCTCTCTGGTTTCAGCCCATTAAGAATGCTCCTGTTGGAAAGAAGTATGTCCGCTGTCCTTGCAACTGTCTGCTGATCTGCAAAGTGACGTCGCAGAAGATCGCCTGTCCAAGACCGTACTGGTGAGTCAGGAAAAGAAACAGAGGCTGTTTTTAATCCATCTCAGCTTTAACACGTAATCACACCACCTTTTCCAGCCGTTCAACAAAAGCAACCATTACGTGGTGTTAAGAGACTGTTCAAGGTACCCCCTTTTTGCAAAATTTCAGCTTTTGAAAAGTTATAATAATAAAAGCAAAAATTATAAACTCTAGTTATATGACACTTTTATTAACAAACGTTTTTATATTAAAGCCTGAAACAAAATTAAATATGTTTAAAAAAGAATAGAACAGACCAGATTTTATAAAACAGTTCTGGAAACAGCCTGGCGTTACTGGCGATTTATGCTTCAAGTGGATATCTAAGCTGGGCTACATTATAACCTGAAGCCCTATGATGTAAGCCGGTGTGCACCTACCTGTAAATGAGGTGCAGCCCAAAGCTGTTATTATTGGTCTTTTCAATACCATTAAGTTCTCCTGCGCATTTCCAGCTACTTTTTAGCCGCAGTTTTTAAATCAATCAGTGAGTTTATAACACTTATCATCTCAATATAAGGAACGATAATTATAGCTTCAGTATTCCCAGCATTTCATTTGTTTCTGTAACACTCACAGCACATACAAAAACCAGGACATGACCTCCCCAGTACACTTAATGGCGTGTTTTGACCCTTCAGTATAAAAATTGGTAAAAGATGTGGTTTGATGACTATTATAATAGCGTCTGGGTTTTTCCAAAGGTAGCTCTAATAAGCTGTTTATACAGAAATCAACCTCACTAACCTCTGATGCAGACGTGGTCATTTTGTTCTATAAGCAGGCCTGAAGTATGAAACTACTCCGAAAAGAGAAGCAAGTTTACTCCACATAGGTAAACTGTAAATCTTTCCATCTTGAAGTCTTGATTTTTGCCCTGACGGCAACATAATGTTCAGAAATCTCAGGCTCACGGCTGAACGAGCCTCCTGGTCTTCCTCGTCTCGCGTCTTCATCCACTGAGGTTTAGCAGAATGACGACCTGACATCGGTCAGACTGGAATATTTCCTGCTGCTGTCATCTTCCATTACTGCTGATTAAGTCTGTATCCAGTACTTTTTCAGTGTAAGCTGCTCTAAAGGCTTTTGGTGTCAGCTCTGAGAGAACAAACAGGGATTAATGAGTTAGTTAGGTGTGTTGAGCCGAAAGTCATGAAGGTGGACCTCTTCTTCACATTTTGATTTTCAGTGTTTTAGTTTAAAATTGGCTCTTGGTGTCTCATTTTTAAACCAACTAACAAATCATGATCCAGGGATGTCAAACATAAGGTCCGGGGGGCCAGAATTCTGCTGGCAGAAACTTTGGAGAAAGTGAAGGAGGACATAAATTTTGGGGTTTTACAGTTTTTCAGCTTTTCCTACTCATAAAGACCTCCCCCATGGCCATACATACTATTCATTAATATCGCTTAAATAACAAAAAAGTTCCTGTTTGGTTTTGTGTTTGTTCCCCACTATTTCTGTCTATAATGAAATTTTTGATTTGGACAGTGGGTCTGCAGTTAAAAACTGCTACTATTGTGAATTAACAAAAACTAAATATATATAGGTAAATAAAATATAGGTCAGTCTGAGTAATGAACTACCGAACAATTAGAAAACAAAAGAACCCTAAACATTTATTTATTACAGTTCAAGCTGAAAGAGTTGTTCTTTGCTACAGAAACATCTCTTTATCCTGCGAAAACCTGAGAGGTACTGGTGAAAAAGTGATTAAACGTGTAGCTACACATCTTTGCACTGGATAAAATGCAAGTTTCCTCAGTCCAGCCCTCTTAAGATCACATACAGAGGGCTTTATGTCACCTATAATGTGAAGTGAACTTTACATTCCTTTTCTAGGTTGTCTCACTGAGATTTTATGTTTTTTGGTTTTTTTTTATTGGTCATTCCAGATTAAGTCCAAGTGAAATTCCCGCCTGACACTCTTAATCAGCTGGGGACTTTTTGTACAGTAACTTTAGTATATTTCCTCATTTGTTTATTTACTATAATCACTTCCAGTTACAGTTTTTCCAAGTCACACACCTTCATAGTATGCAGAGCTGGCTTTAAATTTTTCAACTTTAGATTCACACCCTTTTTTAAAAAGCTAAAAAGTTGCTTTGTGGACAAACTTTGAAATAAGCAGTAAAGGCTGTTCACATGGGTTTATGTTAAATCAGTGTTTTCTGTTCCCCGGCAGTAAACGCATCATCAACCTAGGTCCAGTCCACATTGGAGGGGACAGTCCTGAACCGCGGCGTCAGCCTGTTGGCATCAGAGTCATCTGTGGACACTGCTCCAACACATTCCTGGTAAAAGTCACACACTCACATGGCTTATATTACAGCTGACAGTGCCAGTTTTACTTCTTTATGCATTTATTTACTGACATCTACAGAATTATTTGCCAATGTACTCTTCTGCTTTACCCCCTGATAGAGAACTGTAATATATGCACACACTGACCTTTTCATTTCCTCTCTCTTAGTGGACAGAGTTTTCAGCCCGCACTTTAGCTCGATGTCCCCACTGCCGAAAAGTGTGAGTATGTCAGATGTTCACTTTCTCTGTGTGTGTGTGTGTGTGAGGAAGGTAAATAAGTGTTTTGCATTTATAATTTGAATTATTATTTTTTGACTGTCTCTCGGTTTGATTTCCAGCTCTTCTATTGGTTGGCGGTACCCCAGAAGGAGGAGCCTGCTATGCTTCCTGCTGTTTTTAATCCTCGCCGTCTCCACCGCAGGACTTTTGGTGTGTATTTGTGGGCGAAGATGTTGGAGTGATGTTAACTTTTAAACTGTTGGTCGATCAAATTGTATCCTTTTTTTAAAGATGATGATTAGGATGCCAAAAGCCAAATCGTTTAACCAGCAGACGTCCTACTGCTGGAAATTTTAGGCGAAAATAAACTCAATAGCCATTTTATTACGTAAACATAAACTTATTATGTAATACTCTTTAGCCTTCAAAGCGGCCTTAACTCTTCATAACATAGATTTAACAAGCTATCAGTTAAAAACACTTCTATCTGCTTCCAGGTTCAACATGTTGTGTGCTCAGAGGTGCTCATCTATATACTTAACAAGTGATTATCTGGGTTTCTGTTCCCTTCCTGACTACTCAAAACAGTCTGGCCATTCTCTGACCTCTGACAAAGAAGCGTTTTCTTCCACAGACCTTCAGCAAACTGGATATTTCCTCTTTTTCACATCATTCTCTGTAAACCAGAGATGGCCATGTGGGAAAATCCCAGTAGACCAGCAGTTCTTCAACAACCATGGCACATTCAAAGTCACTGTCATCACCTTTCTTCCTCATTCTGGTTCTCAGTTTAAATTTCAGCAGATTATCGTAACTATGTCTACATGCCTAAATGCAGTGCTCTGCTGCCATGTGATTGACTGATTAGATATTTGCCTCTCACCATTTAATTTTGGTTATTACCTTTTATTCATTGTAACTATTACTGTTAATAATTAATAAATTAACTGTTATTGCTGTACTTTAATATTTTATATAACCTAATTGTAAACTCTACTTTTGCACAAAAGGCAGATTCACAGATGCTCTTTTTGTTCACCTTTATATAAGTGACAACAAAAAAACTGTTTACTCTGTCTTTATTTACACCACCAGCAGTTACATTAAGAAAGAAACATGATTGTTATTCATTTCAAAGAGAAATAACTTAAAGTAGATCACACACTGCTCAGATGGCTTCAGAAAAGCCTTAATTCTCAACGATTTTTAGGTAATTTGGATGACATTTTTCAAGTCACACAAAGCTAAACATCATACAAAAGGTCACAAAAGAGAAAAGAGGCGCAGCACTAGCACAATAAGCAATAATATCATTGTAATTGTTCATAATTGTGTTCAATTTATACCCAAAGTTGCAAAGCAGCAGTGATGTTGCATGTTATCCCTTCATGTGTCCTTTAGTCAGCATGAGCTTTCATTAAGTATTCCCTTCGAAAAGCTGACAATTTAAACATGGTGTAGATTAGATTGAATCCACATATATAGTCGTGGTGGCGTGTGGTTAATATGTATTTTATTTTGCTGATTTTGTGGCTTCATTGAATGTTCACTACAGTAAATAATTATTTGTGAGGTGCAATTGCTAACTGGAATCACAAGTTGCCACTTTCAAAATAAAACATAAATTGAGAATTTTATATGACCAAAATCATTGAAAAAATTTTAAAAACGTCTTCTGTTTGCTTCTGTGTTCAGGCCGGCACCTGGAAGCCCGCCAAGAGCTCAAAAGGGATCTACGTGTCATGGGTGCTCCTGCTCCTGCTCACTTTGTTCACCATGGCCAGAACAATCTACTGGAAGTGTCTAAAAATTAGCGAACCCTTATCCAATGTCACATAGAGGGAGAAAGAGGGTGAGGAAGGTGAGGAGGCTGGTGTATGAGGAGGAGACATTTAAAATAAGAAAGTAAAGCGTTAGATCTCAAGTGAGGAAAACGGTAAGTCCTGACATCAACGAGGGAAGAAAAGATGGGGGAACAGTAGATATAAAGAAGGAAGGTTAAAGAAGAAAAGGTTTTTTAACATGTTAAAAACATCAAGTTCCTACAAAATTGGGTTAGAAAATATAAACATACACAGAGGCAAAATTCACATAATTCAGTTAAATTGCAGAGCTGCATGTGATTGTGACTGTGATTTTTGAGAGATCCGTACATTTTAAGCAACAGTAGATAAGGACACTCCTAGAGTGCAGTACTCCACCAAGGGCAATACTTTATCTTGGAGTTTAAAAATAAAAGTAATGTAAAGTTTTAAAGGTTCCTTCTTTTGCCATTCCTGTACTGCTCTGCCAACAGCAATGACAATCTCTGTTTAAAAAAAAGACTTCTAGAACATCTAGGCGTTAATTCAAACATGAGGCTGAACTTTTGCGCAGATTACCATGTTTTCCACTGAAGAGGTCCTTCATTGTTTGCCAAGACCATAAGCATGATTATGGAAATCAAAAATGTATTCACTTTGTTATTCCTGACTAAAATGTCTCAAGTAAATGAAACCCCAAATAACCGATCTGGTTAAAGAGAATATTCTATTTGCCTAAAACGCTTGTGGATGGTAGCCAAAAAGATCCTCTATGCAAGAGAAAAAAACCCTAAAATACAATGTGGACTGAAGGGGGTGTTTTAATTATAAGAATAGTAGTAATCAGACTGGGTAGATCAGGCAGAATAATTTAGTAGTTAACTTTTTTTGCCAGCAAACAACAACAACAAACGTTCCCAAATTTGCTTTTAAATTGATCCAAAATGGAGCAGAACCAGTAGATGCTTCTCTTATTAAAGGACTAGTGTGATATTTTAAGTGAGACTGTGCACTTTGAAAATTGGGCAAGAAGACTGATATTGCTCATGTCTGTGTGATAAATAAGAATTTACAATGAGCATATCTTACTTTACCGTAGCATAGCTTTGTGTAAATGTAAATGAAATGCTGAAAAAGATTAAATTAAAAGTTGATGTTGTGCAGGGTATTAAGTGTAGGATTATTTGTTTACTATGATTTTTTTGGTAGCCTTGCATATAGCCGAGCTAGCTGTTTGCGTGTGTTTCCTGTCTTTATGCTAAGCTAGAGCTAGCCAAGCTATTTTTTTTCTTTATTTGAAGCACTGACAGGAGACTGGCATCGATCAACAGCAAATTATTCTGTTTAAGGCCCCAGTCACACAGGATGGCACACCAGTTGGCAGCCACCTGGCAATGACTGGCCCAAAAGGAGTTGGCAAGTGGTTGCTGGAGGTTGCTTAGTGAAATTTATGCTGTGTTATCTACTCCACTAGTGTTAGTGGAACTTGCAAAAGTGCAACACACTCCAGAAAGAGGCCTTGCACTGTCAAAATAGAAGTTGTGGCTTTTGAAACATATTTGTTTCAGTGCTAAGCTTTTACTTTGAAGGGGAAAGGTCTCTGTTTTTGGGGTGTCATACGTTCGCATGGTTCACGAATGCTTGTCAAGTAGTTTATGAGATTTTGCGGAAGTCAATCTCTCCCGGGTATACTAGAGGAAACTGCAGTGATCTGTTAGTAGCCACTAGGAGATTTTTGGTCCAGCAGCCTGTTTGCGACTGATTTCACCCAGCACCTCCAGGACAGGAGGTTGCCGGGGGGGGGTGACAGACTGGTCTGTAGGCCTATGTGACAGAGGCCTAAACAAATTAAAGATGACGAATTATGCACAATGAATGAAAGTCTCAAAGCAAACAGTTTTTTATAATGTTTCAATGTTTAATAACAAATCCACGACCAAACTATGAGAAGTACTTAAAGGACCTTAATTACAACATAAAGGCAGATGGCATCCGAAGGAACCATGTGGATTAATCATTAAATTTAAACTTTTAAATGTGTTTGCTGAGGGACAAATTATGGTGTGAGTTAAAATTGTATGTAAAAAGTGCTTTTAATGCATACAAATGAAATTATGGAACAAGCAAACCAGTGGAGACTGATATGAAGAGGGAAGTTAAGTTGTAGCTAATAAAGGCTTCACATGAGGAAATGATTATGGAGGGGCATTAACATGAGATTAAATAGCATATGTTTCCTTTTATTTTTTTGTCATGTTGTGTAGTAGCACATCAGCATTCTTATCAGATCTTAGACAGGGTGTTTGGGGCATTTGATGTGATTTTTTTTTTTCTGTATTTGTTTTAACACCAGCTTTATTTTGTAATGATTCATGTCAGAGAAACTCAAAGTTTTTGTTTGATGAAAGGATGGCATGTTTGAATTTGACAGAGCTTTGATATGTGTGTACTGTTCATATTCTTCAAAGTTGTCTTTGAATCACAGGTTTAAAACACTTGATCCACACGCAGGTTATTTTATTTATTTATCTGTTTTATTTGAATCAAACTACTTTCTCTGACATTCTAGTAGAACCTGTTAGAGTGTCCGTTTCTCCGTGGAAGTGCAAATATATCCAGTGGATGTTGATTATTTTAGACTGTACAGAATTGTCAAAGCTGTCTCTTCCCCCTCATGGCTGATTAATGTAAGTACCTGCTGACTGTGAAACATGTTGCACTACATTGTACAGATGAGCAACTCCTGTATCTTTGTGTCAATGTTATCCTGGTGGATGGAGTTGTTTTGTTTTTGGGTGGGGGGGGATGCAAAACTAAGTAATACTTTTAACAACTTCCTCTGACTCCAATGTGCCTCTTATTTATTTACATATATCAGCTATTAATAATATGTGTCTCTCTTTGTCACAGAAAGTTATCAGAGTATTTAGGATGCATCGTAATGTCTTAAATACCCGTGAAACTTTTATAGTTTATGTTAGTTTCTTTTTATGGGGGCATATGGCTTATGAACCGAATGCCACACCACAGCATTTACAATTGAATCTGATTTGCATGCCCATTCCTGGTTTACACTGTATATGTATTTTGTGGTTTTCTAGTCATACTGGCCACTCAGTCAAATTTCAGAACTGCCTCAATTCTTGATGACGTAGATTCAACAAGGTGCTAGAAACATTCCTCAAAAATCTTTGGTCCACGTTGACATGACATCATCACACAATTGCTGCAGATTTCTCAGACATACATCCACGATGGGAATCTCCCAAAGGTGCTCTGTTGGGTTGAGATCTGGTGACCGGAGGAGACTTGAGTACCATAAACTCACTGTCATGCTCAAGAAACCACTTTGAGTTCCAACCAGCCAGCAGAAGATGGATACACTGTGGTCATGAAGGCATGGACATGGTTAGCCATCAAGGAGGCTGGGGTGTTTAAACAAAGCTCACTGGTACCAAATTCTGACCCTACTATTATCTGTGTCCAGGTTTGGTGAGCTCCTGTGAATAGAAGTAAATGGCCTGCATTTGTATAGCGCTTTTCTAGTCCCTAAGGACCCCAAAGCGCTTTACACTACATTCAGTCATTCACCCATTCACACACTGGTGATGGCAGCTACATTATAGCCACAGCTGCCCTGGGGCGCACTGACAGAGGCGAGGCTGCCGGACACTGGCGCCACCGGGCCCTCTGACCACCACCAGTAGGCAAACATGGGGTTAGTATCTTGCCCAAGGATATTTGGCATGCAGCCAGGAGGCAGCCTGGGATCGAACCACCGACCTTCTGATTAGTGGCTGACCTGCTCTGTCACCTGAGCTACAGCCACCCACTGTAGTAGCATCAGTTTCCTGCTCTTCATGTTCTGGCTCACAGAAGCGACACCTGGTGTGGTCTTCTGCTGCTCTAGTCCACCTGCTTTAAGTTTTGCCTGAAGAGATGCTATTCTGCATACTTTACTTGTAATTAGTGCTTATTTGAGTTTCTTTTGCCTTCCAATTGACTCAATCTGGCGATGTTCCTCAGCAATTTTAGACCACTTTGTGTTTAGAGTAACTTCATTCACCTTTCTTCCCTGTTCTGATGCTTGACGTGAACTTAAGAAGATCGTCATATCATTATGTGATTGGATAATGAGACAGTTAAATTATACAGGAGCAGATTAATGGCCAGAATAAAATATTTGATGCTTCAGCTGATTGTTAATATTGATACACCAGTTTTCATCAGTATAAGAGAACAAAAAAAGTCAAGCATCAGCTGACAGTAGTCTAGAAACACAGCAACAGTTTCATGTCAGTAATAAATGTATTCGTTTTATTGGTTAGTTTTATTGAAGTAATAAACTCTTGGACTTTGACAAAACTTTATGCACATTCGAACTTTATTCTCTATGCAGAACCAGTTCGAAAATTGATAAGCAACTATCGAGAATGAATCGAACAATTGCTTCTATTAACTTAAATTAAAAGCCTACATTAAACAGACGGATAGATGAATGGATATTTATGAAAGGTATGCTAAAAAACAAAACTTGGTCTTATTATTTGTATGCATTGAACATGTTATGTATTTAACACAGAACGCCACAAGAGGTCAGAAGAGCAGTATCTTTAAGTTAAATCTGCTGTCTTTAAAGCATTACCTGGAGTGTGTGTTAAAAAAGAAATGTATTGCTTGGAAATATTGGTTGCCATTGGTTTGTCTGATATTCTACATCATAGTTACCCCAAAGGTTCATTCTGTTCATCTGGACGTAGTGTTTTCAGTGGGAGAAACGTTTCGTCACTCATCCAAGGGACTTCTTCAGTCTCAGCTGACTGCAGGTTTCTCCAAATCTTATAAACAGTACATTTGCATAATGACTGAAACCAGCCCACTGAAGGAACAATGGGCTGGGAGGTCAGTTCCTTAATCTTAATAATGCAGATTCTCATGACTATTGATCAGCAACCACTGACCAAAACCCACTGATCAATGGCCATGAGTACCATGAGTACCATTCACAGAGAGTTGGGGAATGGCTGCAATCGCAGCATTGTAAGATGGCGAAAGATGTACCCTTAGGCCCCCTCCTCGATTCAGAGATGGTCTTAGATGGTCAGAGAGGTATAAAATAATGGCGTACTGATCATGATAAGAAGTCCATTTGTAGACATACAGATATATGGTGATTCTTGCTTGTGTTATTTCTAAAAACACTAAACAAAAACCCAGCCTGTGATAAACGTAGAAGTCCTTAGTATATTTGATGATGCCAAAACTTTGTATAATACAATAATACTATACAGTGATCCAGCTACACTTATAGACAAGCTATAAATAATGTAATATGTGAGTCTATTTATTTCTATTTATAGCAGTTATTATTCATCTTAACTTGCATATACAAGTAGTTATCTTCACTGTGAGTCTCATTACTGCTAAAATTGATTTGAATTGATTTTCTTCAAAGTCGGACAGACATTGACTCAAAAAGTTTTTTCCCCCGCCCCCTTTTTTTTGCAGCTATCTACTCAACTCCATCATGGAAGCCAGACTATGAAATACCATACCATAGAACAGCAGTCCCCAACCCCCGGGCCTCGGACCGTAACCGGTCCGTGAGTCGTTTGGTACCAGGCCACGAGAGTTGAGGCTCAGGTGTGAAATGTATGGTTTTCAGGGTTTTCAGTGTTATTTTGTTATCGTTTTTATCGTTAACTCTGTTTTCCTGGGTCTTTTCACGTATGTTATGAATAAATCTTCTTTTTTTCGGTACCGGTACTAGTTTTATTTTGTTGTATGTAAAGGCCGGTCCGTGAAAATATTGTCGGGCATAAACCGGTCCGTGGCACAAAAAAGGTTGGGGACGGCTGCCATAGAACAGCACACGTCTGTATTTGGATGTATGCACATGCTCAGTTCTGTTTAAGTTAAATGTTTGTATAACTGTAACCCACTTTATCTCATTGGGTAATATTGTAGTTTTACAGAAGCTTGACTAAATACTTTGAAGCGGCTTCCTGTACAATGTTTGTGTCTGTAGCAGTCGAAAAAGATCAAGAAAAAAAACATGCTTCAGTAACACTTCAAAAATTAATTGTGCCAGGGTTAACAGATGAGACGTTTTGATCTTCTATGTATATCATAACTTATACTTTGCTTGCATCTGTCTCTCCAAAGAATCTCACTCCTTCCTCTTCAGTCTCTATCCCTTCTCCCCCTCTCCAGCTGCTGCCTCAGTGGGATGGGTGTAGTTTAGTGCCGCGTTCTTCCCGGATTGTCTTTCAGTCTCTCGCGGCTCAAATCCCGCTGAGGCCGCTAATGGCTTAAGCCTCAAAAAATCTGAAATGCTTGAATCCTGGATCACCCTACCCCTGGGATAGCTGGAAATCTGAAATCAAGGACAACTGGAAAATATACTTTATAGAAAGCTGCAACGATTTACTGGCTATTTTTTCTGGGGGATTTTTTTGGGTTTTTTTTTTAAGTATTTATCATGTAGCAGATTGGGCTGGTGATGTTCTCCGGTAACATAAAATACTTGTAAATGTGGATCTGCTTCTTCAGGATTTCATCACAAAAGAAATACGAGCACTGGATTTATTAAGAAAGCATTACATTTTTATTTGTAAACCTGGAATTCACAAAAATTCCCCTTTTTCTCTCTTAATGTTGGGATTGTTGGATGGATCAAGTCTTAAGGACTCAAAACTTTCTATCTTAAATAAAAATTGTGCAGGTGTGTATGAATGTGGTTAAACACAGGATTAAGTAAGGAAGTGTGAGCTGCTTGTGCCTCTGTTTGTGTGCATAAATGTGTATGGATGTTTATAGCCATGTTAGAGGAAAAGAAGGACCAAGGTTCTCCAAAACAGAACAAACCATCAAAGATCAACAGCGGCAACACCTGTCACTCGACATTGGGTAAAACCAAGTATATCTCAAACAGCAGCAACACCTTCAAACCTGCACACGGGTGAGAGAAGAAAATCTTTGTGTTTCATTTCTTTTTCTGTCTGCAAGTGACAAATGCAATGCATGTGTGCATTTTGTATTAATAATGCCTTTACCTTTCATATGTGTGGAGAAAATGTGAATATGCAACAAAAAAAGTTTTAAAAAGTCATACAATCACAACCTGGATAAATGTTAAAAAACATTTTGCTAAAAAAAGAAATGTTATTTCTTTTGTTAGAAATAACATTTCTAACCAAATATAATATAAAATCAAGATTTTAAAAAAACTACCTTTGTCTTTTTAAAACATTTTTTATTGTGTGACTTTTTTCAGGGGGTACAAATACAAAGAATAACAGTACTAATGATGAATGTTGAGAAACAGTCAACCTTAAAATCCTGCTAAATGTTGGTGAAGACTTTTATCCACAGTCGCGACTATATTCTTGTATGTCACGTGTGCATATGGAACAATTAGCAAGTGGGAAATAGTCCTTTGGTATTAACCCTGGCCCAAACAGCTCTTACAGCTAAAGGAAGACAACAACTGCACGTGACAGGGCTATGCATGTATATGTGGGTGTCCCATCTGTCTAGATCCAAGTATTTAAAAGTTTTATTCATGTGTGTACATGCATGGTACCACCAAACATATGTTCTTTAGTTGATGACAACAATGAATTCCCTCGATTTCGATTCCCATTTCAATCAAATCCAGGTAGGAGGAGATGAATGTAAACATCTAATACCCAGCTGATATCACTGCAAAGTAAAGAGGGCAAAGAGAATAAAGCTCTGTAGTTATTCAGTAAAGTGGCCTAACAAAATGTTGAGGCTGTATAGGCTAGTCCTACTTGCTGCTACAGGCATGTCTGAGAGATGTTTATGTGAGTCT